AGGGCTCCTTTGCAAACCTAGTGACTATAGTAAAGAGTTTAATCAGCTTTGAAGTAGAATAAACTAGTATCGAGGATTTGAATTATTTTTAAGGAAATCATTCTTGAATGAACACACTATAAAAAGAAACCTGTTTCTTTAAGAAATGCAACATAACTTTAAAATATATATATATATATCTGCACTGCCTACTATGAGTGCCATTGACCAGAATACATTACCCATTTTCCATTAATTCTTGAGCACCGGTAAATGGGAGTTGAGAGAGAGCAAGGGAAGTAAGATTTCAGATACATATAACGTGCTTTCAATCCAAGCCACATATTCAGCTTATTTAAAATAAACATTTACTTACACTAGTAATCCCAGTTTAATCAGTTCTACTAATCTACATTTAGCAAATACAAACACACATTTAATTATATTTTTTCAAAATAGTTTAGGTGTATGGCAGTTTAAAAATAGAAGAAAAGAACACATATTGGTAAGTAAACCTAATATAAATTGTACTTCCGAAAGACATTCTTAACTAGCAATCGACTTAGAATAAAATAAACAAAAAGAACCAAAAATAAATAAAAAATAAAAAACAAAACAAAACAAAAAACACCCCTGAACACTGGATCCTGAGGAGAAATTTGTAATAGCTGTGAATTCTTGTGCAGATGCCTCTAGATGGTATCGTGGGCACACAGAATCACTGCTTGTGCTGTGCAGACTGGAGAAGAACATTCAACAGTACATGTTTAACATGGCAATTAAAATACTCGTAGAAGGTTCCAATACATGACTCACCTGAGTGCAGTAGGAGAAAGGTTTTCTGCAGGCTGGGTTACACTGCCTAATAGCAGCAGGGCGTGCCTGAGGGGAGCAGCCTCCTATAAAGGAAATGCCACCAAACCATCAATTGCAGATTGTCTATGATAACTATTGTTAAGTTTTTTCTCCTCTGATACTGTTCAGTTTTCACAGTACTGGTTTTCAAATTCCCTGCCAACAGAGAGGTCCAGTCCCTGTTACTGATTACTCCCAGGTGTATTGTTTGTGATGGGAGGTTCTTCTAACATAGGATGTTTACAGTGGAATGCTTATGTGTGCTTTTTTGCCATGTGATTCTAACACATGACTGTATTTCAAAGCATAGTGTATGGTACCAAAATTAGTATAAGAATTGATGAATTCTCCAGTTTAAGGTCTGGGATGAAAAACATGTTTAGAATACTCATTTGATGTTCATCTTTCTACAACCCACAAACACCATAACTAGGCAAATGTCACACATGAATATTTAAAAGCAAATATTAAACTCTAGGAAAAACAACCATAGATCAGACACATTACGTATAGGTGCTCAGTAATACATGGACATGAAATTGTGATTCTCTATAATGTGAAAATCTTATAAATACTAGTCTTGACTTCCTGGATTTGAAATAGTAGAGACATATGAAACAGTTTAAGAACAGTTAGCATGGTAGAGTAGTATATAAACTGCATTTATATATTATTGGCTACATATACAGACCAACACTATGTATATATTACTTTAATTGTCAACCAGTTATAGACTGTTATTCTGTAGCTAGTGAAAATGTAAATGTAGACATTTTGTAACAAAAGGAGGAGAGTGGTTGATTTTGCAGTCCAGGAGTAGAGGACCCTGGTACCATCAAAGAAGAGCAGAATGCCGGACCCTATCCAGAGAAGCAGTGACACTAGAGATGGAGGCAGAGATGATGACGTGGAGAGATGGAGCAGCTGGTGACTCTGCACTCAGGGAGGGAGAGGGGCTGTGTGCTGGTGGCCGGGAGGCAGGCTTGTGGGGTATACCCTTTCATTGTTTGATGATGCATGGAGGGGATTGTAATCGTTGCAGAGAAACGAAATACTATAGTTTACTTGGCAGAACAGCTTTATATTCATCCTATCACTCAATTCACAATAAATGCTTAAAAAAAAAAAAAAAAAAGCTTTGGTCCTAAAACAGGGTAGAGGACCATCAGATTTGTATTCTCTCTGGAATAAAGAAGCGAAACCTCAAAACTAAAGCAAACATACACACAAACAAATCCACAATTCATAGTTAACACCTAGGAATAAACTTGATAATATAAATGTTAGTATCAATAACCATGCAGACATGTTATTAAAAACTATTTTGAGAGGGGTATTCTCCACTATTTAAACTAATAATCTGTAAAGTAAAATGGGTGTTGCCCTGGAGTGAGAAATCTCTTAGGAACTGGGAACAAAATATTAGAACTTTTGCAGTATCTAAAACACTTTTGTTTTAGTTTTAAGATGAAAATTAAATCCTGGTGTGGTGCTGTGGGATAAAGCTCTGGACCGCAAGGTCGATTTGAACCACAGGGTTAGTGGTTCAAATTCACCAGCCACTCCTTGGAAATCCAATATAGGATCGCTATGAGTCGGAACTGATTCAACACCACTTAACAGCAACAACAGCAAATATTGAACTGTTATTGGTGACCTGAGCTCATTTATCGATCATGATTATTACTTAATATGTAAATGTACAACATAGACAAAGGAAAAGGTTCAGACAGAGAATCTGATGATGCAACAATTTACTCTCAACAAACTTCCGAGAAGGTTGGATGCTTTCTGTCTTTCTGGTGGGGTAGACATAAGCTATTTAAACAACAACTCACAAAATATGCAAGTATCTAAAAAGATGATTGTGAATAGTTTAATAATGCAGGAACAAGGAGACAGCATAGCTGACAATTCTTTTTCTCCTATAGGCATCCCTAGTTGTTATTATAGCGGCCCTATATAGGGTTTCCAAGAAGTAGCTGGTGAGTTCAAACTGCTGACTTTTCAGTTCACACTGACCTTGCATTGTAGTGATTCCCCTACAGCACCATTCCAGGACTCCCACCCCTAGTATATGGTTTTTATCAGCCACTAAACCCGCTGTCACTGAGGAGATTCCAACTCATAGCAATCCTGTCTAGTATTTCCAAGACTGTAAATCTTTACAGGAGCAAACCACCTCTTCTCTCTTGGAGCAGCTGGTGGGTTTGAACCACGCACCTTGAGCTTAACAGTCCAGTTCTTATTCTACAGCTCCATTAGGACTCCTTACATTAAGAACATTAAAAACAAAACAACAACAACAACAACAAAAAACCTTTAAAATGACTGAAAAGACCATTTAATTGCATATACCATCATAAATGATGAACCTTTATCTCTATCTTATTATGCACATAGTTATTAAGTAATAATCATGATTAGCAAACATTTTTTAAAAATTAAGTTTCTAGTATGTGAATATAAGCTTCTGTAACTTAGAGCAAATTATTTTAGCACTATTGACAAGTATGGTAATATTTTCAATTTTACAAAATTTACCAGTATCCATTCTTTCAGTTTACATTTTAATATAGGCTTTCTAAGTTAGCACTGTGGTATACTATATTGAGGCGTGTCATCAGAATTCAACCTGTATGGTTCATGATTTAAAATTTTAGTGACCATTGTTTTAAGCTAATGTCTGTTTCTTTCATTGTCTGTCTCAGATCATGATTTTTAAGGAAATTTTATTGTGTTTCAGTGCATTTCTTTAACTTGTCTGATACATTTTGGATCTCCTAATAGAAGTGTTTGTATTGCAAACAATTGTCTAATGACAATTTTCCATGAAGACTCTGTAAGGCCACCTGCCTATTTATTCCTTGCTTATAATATGTAAGCTAATTCTTACAAACAGCAAGACTCAGAACTCTCTGAAGTGTTTCTGTGAGTGATATGAAGGAATACCTGTAACATTAATGCCATCTGAACGTTGACACCATACAGTTCGCTCATTATTGTTCCAAAGACTTGCTTTCCATGTGTAGTGATAGCATTTGCCTCCTGGAAGTAAATAATATGACAGTACGTCTATTACATCTCACATAAACATAGACCAAGCATTATTAATCTACTAGGGTGAAAGAACTGAAAAGTGCTCTGGATACCTGTACAAGGGCGTGTTTCTAGAACCTGTTGGGGGCAGCTGTCTTGGTTCTCAAATGACTGAATTATAAATGTCCGTGACCTAGATTGGCGGCCCACAGTCTCAAAGCTTCTTCCTTTGATGCAGGTTAATTCACAGGTACTCCATTCTGACCACTGAGCTAAATGGCAGTCTCCTGTACCACAGCACAGTGAAAAGGAGCAAAAACAGCATGAAAACAAAGACTTAACAACATGTCAGTGAACAGAATTCACACGAAGATTTGGGATTGTGGTACAGTGATATATGCAGGTTCTAGATACTATAAATTTCTATTTTCACATATTTTCCATTAGAAATACTAAGAATGGACTTCTGGTGTGGTGCTGGAGGATCAGCACTGGACTGCGAACCACAAGGTCAACAGTCAAAATTCCCCAGCTGTTCCTCGGAAACCCTGTAGAAAGTCACTATGAGTCAGAACCGACATGAAGGCACTTAACAATCAACAACAAGAATGATGTAGCAATTCATCGTTCCATTTACTTTTAAAAGACAGTGCCAAAAAGTAGGTCTCTCTTGTAGTCATATCTAGAGAATAGTATGCATTGGCCCATGATAGTAACATTTCTTAAAGATCATAGTAACTCAATTTTCAAAGATCGGCACAATGACGTCTTAAAATAATGCTCATAGAAACCATGTAAAAAGGAATAAGTAGGTCACCAACATGGATTATCATTTGACCTAAATAATTTTAATACTTCAGATACATATATGCAAGTTGTTGTTAAGTGTTGTTGAGTCACCAGCCAGCCTACTCCTATCAGCTGGCTGGTGGGTTTGAACTGCCACCCAGTCAAGTGCTGACCCTACAGTAACACAGGAGGACTTCTAATACATACATATCTGTGTGGTGATGGTGGTGGTGGCTATGTGCCGTGGAGTCAGTTCTGACTCATAGCGACCCTGTACAGGGTTTCCGAAGCTGTAAATCTTTACAGGAGCAGAAAGCCTCTTCTTTTCCCCATGGAAAAGCTGGTAGTTTCGAACTGCTGACCTTAAGGTTTGCAGGCCGATTTGTAACCACTACGCTACCAGAGCTCCTTACATATCTATGTTGTTGTTGAGTGCCGTTGAGTCAGTTGTACATATCTATGTAGGTATATATAAATACATAGTCATATGTGTATTTATATACTTATATTTGTGTATATGTAGGAGTCCTGGTGTGGTGCTGCAGGATAAGCACTGGACTGCTAGGTCAGTTTGAATTGCAAGGTTGGTGTTTCAAGCTTACCAGTCACTACTCGGAAACCTTTTAAAGGGTCATTATGAGTCAGAATTGACTTGACAACACTTGACAACATATGTATATGTGTGTGCACATACACGTAAGGACACATTAAAAACCTTAAACCTACAGCAACATGTATACATTTTATATAATGTTGGCATTTATAAAGAACTTTAATGTTTAGAGGAGCCCTGATAACTCAAGATCAGTGGTTGAAACTCACCAACAGCTCCTCAGGAGAAAGATGAAGCAGTCTGCTCCCAACAAGATTGACAGTCTTGGAAACCCTATGGAGTAGCTCTACTCCATCCTATAGTGTCACTGTGAGACAGAATTGACTCAACAACAGTGGACTTGGTGCTTTAACTGTTTAGAGAGTGGTTTCACAAAACTATGTCCTTCCTTTTCTCCACAGGCTATCATTCAAGCATTCATCGCTCCTGATTTGGCTGGCATCTTTTGAGTGCTGGTCAATGTACAGGTGCTAACAGGGCAGGTACTATGAACAAAGTTTCTAGATGAAGAAACTTTTGCTCAGAGGGTCAGACTATTTGCTCAAAGTAAAACACCAGTGAAGTGGTAGGAACAAGATTCTAACTTAGCTCTTCAATCTCCAAACCCAGTACTTTTTTTTTTTTTTCTGCTCTTATATACTCTGCCTCCATCAAAGCAGTAACTATATTTCAAAGTGGTAACCACAACTAAACATGATTTAAAATTAATTAAGAACATAAGTTTTGATGAAATAGAATTTTTCTAGAATAAATAGGAAAGGAAAAATAGAGGATCACATGGAAGGCACCTCAATGTTAGAGTTGCATACCTGGGCAAGGCACAGAACACAGTTGCTTCAGGATTCTGTCCTGAAAGGGCATCTCTCCACACAATGCCTTGTCTACTTGTATAGGTGTCTGTGACATTGAACCATTGTGGACCACGCATGAAGGGATGCGGATCTGAACTCCTTCTCCACAGTCTCCACCCTGTAAGAGTACAAGAATGCTCTCAGAATATCTCAAATAGTTCCCATTCTCAGAGTTTGGCTTCTGCCACCACTGGTCAAGGCAACACTAGTTGTACACTTAGGAAGCTTGCTCCTCTGTTGTTGTTGTTATGTGCCGTGGAGTCGGAACCGACCCATAGCGACCCTGTACAGGGTTTCCGAGGGTGTAAATCTTTACGGGAGTAGAAAGCCTCATCTTTCTCCCGTGGAGCAGCTGGTAGTTTCGAACTGCTGACCTTGCGGTTCACAGCCTGAGTCGTAACCACTACGCTACCAGAGCTCCCTCTAGGAAGGGAGTTATCTCTTGATTATTGATAAGGATGAGCAATAGTTGTTGGCTGGCTAGAACTGAGTTAGAAATACAAATTTATGCCATGAAATGTATGTACTCAGAATATGACGACTCAATTTGGAACTCAGCCAGGATTAATTAAAAATCAAAGCAACACAAAATTCATCTAGGTATAACAGATAAAATGGCCTAATCCATAATGCCTCCCCAAGAGAGCATGTACAGCCACAGGGCAAAAACTTTTTTTTTTTTACTTTGCTTTTGTAGAGAATTCAGTACTTTCTCATGTGGATTAAACTGGGGTTTCCACTAAAACACTGTTTTTCCTCTATTGCCACAAGAAATTGGTTTCCCAGTATGCGTTCTGTGCTGAATAATGTTCATTGAAGATATTTCATACAAATCCCAAACTCAATTCTAAGATTAGTCTAGGCAATTAGGATATTTTTTCACAGTGTTTCACAGAAACAGAATCCTAAAATTGAAAGAGCTCTAAATGACTATCTGTCCCAGCCATTTGTGTGATGAAAGATTTCCTTCTATAATGTTCCTGACAGATACTCGTGAGAATTTTCTCTTCAATTTTATCCAGGTGCTCCAACTTCAAAAATAAGTCCATTGGATGCTTGGATAGTTTTACTTGCTAGCCCTTGTTTTAAGCATAGATGTCCTGAAAAACAGAGCCAAAGGCAAAACTTTCATGCTACCAAAGGGCAATACCAGGGTGGTAATAATAGTGAACATGTCCTTTGGTTGTTTAAATTATTATATATTCTTGAGTGTTTTTGTGTACATCCCCTCCCCCTCAAAAAAAATTCCAAAAAACAGAGGGACTAGAAACAAATACTGTTGAATGATGATGCACAGAGGAGATTGTAATCATTGTAATGAAACAATGAATGTAAAACTGATGTTCCCCCATGTAAACTATCACTCAATTCACAATAAACACTTAAAAAACAAGAGAACTGAAGCTGGAAAGGAGGGGAAGCAAATGTAGTGTGTCACCAAGCTGGTCTCAGTTTAAGAAGTAAACACAGCTGGTTGCTTGGTTATGCACAACACCTTCCAGGCAGGTCATATGGTATCAAATGTCTTAGAATCATCCATAAAGTGTGTGGGTGGGTGGGTGGGGGTGAAAGCCATTATTGTACAGCTGCCACTTAGATCCAGTTCTCATTACTCAGTGTTCATTCTATGGAGTATTAATTCTCATATATTTTATACGTTGTGTGACTAAGCTTCCTCTAAGGCCAAAAGTTGGTAGAAGATCCAAAGCCTTTATGACTACCGCTGCTACAGTCACTGAAAGAGAGAGAGAGAGCGAGAGATGCTACACCCATTGTGAGGAGACTGTCTCACAACTTTTCACTGGAAAACAAGAGCTCATCTCCTTCTTGGCTTATCTCCCCCACAGGACCCCCAAACTTTCAGGCTTAGACTTTGGCTGCTGTGGCTTTTGAAGTTTCAGGAGGGATAAAGTACAAGATGGTCAGCTAAAGCAGCTATGGCAGTGATCCAAGACATGGAATTAGTGATCTGGTCAATGAAAGGCATGCTGAGAACCAACCAGACAAGGTGTGGTGCCACTGGCTGCTAGGTGTCACATGCAGGTCATGAATAAGCTGATGGAGGGGCAGGGTAGCAAAGAAAAGCTTCTTTGTGACAGATTCTTGACATCGAGGAAGATGTGACCCAAAGACATACTGGCAAAAAAGAAAAGGTCCAATTTGTAGGAGCCCAAATTATAGTAACTTAAAAATATAAAAGACACATTAGTCAGGGCCACCATGGCATCATTTTGGGAAGTTTTAACAGGAACTGTGATTTATTTATCTATGAGTCCCATGTTTGAGCTATCTGTAATTCATAACTGCTCTAATTTTTTCAAGGGATATTTAATGGTTACAAAATAAAAGCAAATGGACCCTGACTTTGAAACTTATTGCACTTTTTGGATATGAATGAGGATTCAAAATGTATTTACAGCAGATTCAAAGCACATACTCTTGTTTCCAAATTGGAAAATAACTAGTGCTAACTAAATGTAATTTGGTGGGAAGAATTTTCTTATTCTTGATAATCTTCTTCCATATGGTCTCTTATTCCAGATGATGGATCCATTGCAGAATTGTCTAAATGTATTGATTTGCTCTAGAAAATCAGACTTTGTGTACTTGGAGAAAAGAGTCTGAGGATATATACAACATGTATGAAATTTGAAATTACTGATAATTGAAACTCCAGGTAATAGAAAGCTCAACTGATTATATTTTTACTTGGCATTCCACAAAATTGTGTGTGAAGAAATGACAGAAAGCAAGCCTACATCAGGTTATCATGTTTAGCAACAGTATAAACAGCAGTATGGTCCTAGTGTGTGTCTTGGGATCATATTCAGTCTTAATCTCTTATACCTTTAACAACAACAGTTCCAATATGAAGACAAATCAGTATCAGAATGATAATTCTACCCTTCAAGCAAGCATTCATTCAACCACATTCATGAGACTCTATACACTAGGGTCTGGAGACAGATTCCGGCTTCTTAGCAATACTGCGAAAAAGGAGGATTCTTTTTCTAACTAGCCACCATCTAGATAATTAATGAAGATTTTTTTATATATTGAATTGGCATATCCAACATCTGTGGAGAGGCGGATGGTGTTAATAATCATAATTACAGTTTTAATCAAAATTATAATAACAACTGCAATTGACTGAGTTCTTACTTAATGTCAGACACTATGTTAAGCACTTTATATAAATTGTCGAATCTTTACCAGTCACTCTCAGAAACCCTACACAGGTTCCCTAAGTTGCAACCAACTTGATGGCATGCAACAACAATCCCTACTAAAGTAGCCCAGAAGAGTAAGTATTATTGTTATCCATAATGCTATGGATTTCATTATGTAACTCCCCCAAAAAATATGTGTTGTAGATCCTAACTTCTCTGTCTGTGGTTATGACTGCATATTGGAATAGTTCATGATTGTGATGCTAATGAGGCAAGATTAACGTAGGGTGTATTGTGTTTCAACTGCTTTTGAGATATAAAAGAGATTAAAAGAAAAAAACCAGGAAGATGAGACAGAGGAACAGAAATGTCAAGTTACATGAGGATCATCCAAGAACAAAAGCTCAGAAGAGACAAATACCTTTCCCGAGGGCGGAGAAAAGGAAAGCCTCCCTCTAGAGCAAAGGTGGACACACTCCAGCCCTCCTAAAGCAACCACAGTTCCAGTCATCTGATTGTTATTGTTGTTAAGTGCTGTTGAGTCAGTTCTGATCCATAATGACTCTGTATAGAGTTTCTGAGGAGCAGCACATTAACCCACAGCACCACACCAGGACTCCAGCCATCATATTGGGTGGTGGTAGTGGTGGCTGTATGCCATGGAGTTGGTTCAACTCAGAGCAACCCTGCATAGGATTTCCAAGTCTGTAAATCTTTACAGAAGCAGAAAGTCTCATCTGTGTCCCACAGAAGAGCTGGTAGTTTCAGCTCATAATCCATTTAGTTAATAATTTAGTATTGCCCATGAATGATGTTATAAATTTTGGCTAAAAAAGATCCCCCACCCCTGCAAGAGGCAGCTCCTTGAATGAGGAATTCTACCTGCCTAAACTGTGAGAAAATACATTTCTGTTGTTAAAATCATCCACTGTGGCATTTCGGTTATACTTGTTGTTGTTAAGTGCTGTTGGATTGGCTCTGACTCAAAGCAACCCTGTACAGAGTTTCCGAGGAGCAACTGGTGAGTCTGAACAGCCAAACTCGTAGTTAGCAGTTCAGCACCAACAGGATTCCTTCTGTTATAACAGCACTACAGAACTAAATTATGTGTGTTAGTTATCTAGTATAACTATATATACACACATACGTCCATACACATATATGTATATATTGTATATATGTCTACAGATATTGATATGAGAGGATTTTTAAAAGTTCATGTAAATAGGATTGAAAGATAATGAAAATTTTACATGAAGTTTTTGAGCCCAATCACATAAAGGTTGGGAGCAAAGACAAAAGGATCAGTAGTTGGAAAATATGGCCTTGGTGATAGAAATGATGCTGGAGAACGCATGATAGAATTCTGCAAAACCAATGATTTGTACATTTCAAATACCTTCTTTAGACAGCATAAGAGATGACTATACACATGGACCTCAATAGATGGAATACATAGAAATCAAATTGACTACATCTGCAGAAAGAGACGATGGAAAAGCTCCATTATCAACAGTGAAAACAAGGCCAGGGGCAGACTGTGGAACAGACCATCAATTACTCATATGCAAATTCAAACTGAAGCTGAAGAAAATGAAAACAAGTCCACGAGAGCCAATATATGACCTTGAATATATCCCACCTGAATTTTGAGATTATCTGAACAGATTTGATACATTAAACACTAAAGACTGAAGACCAGAAGAGTTGTGAGATGACATCAAGAAATTCATACATGAAGAAAGCAAAAAGTCATTGAGAAGACAAGAAAGAAGGAAAAGGTCAAAATGGATGTCAGAAGAGACTCTGAAACTTTCTCTCCAGCGTAGAGTTGCTAAAGCAAATGGAAGAAATTATGAGGTCCAAGAGCTGAACAGAAAATTTCAAAGATCAGCTCGAGAAGATAAAGCCAAATATTATGATAAAATGTGCAAAGATCTGGAATCAGAAAACTATAAAGGAAGAACACGCTAAGCATTTCTCAAGCTAGGGGAACTGGAGAAAATAATTCAAGCCTCGACTTCCATTATTGAAATATTCACTGGGCAAATTATTAAATGATGCAGAAAGCATCAAGGGAAGATGGAAGGAATACAGAGAGTCACTGTACCAAAAGGAAATGGTTAATATTCGACCATTTCAAGAGGTAGCATATGATCAAGAGCCAATGATACTGAAGAAGGAATTCTAAGGTGCATTGAAGGAATTTGCAAAGAACAAGGCACCAGGAATAGATGGAATAAACATTTAAATCTTTCAAGAAAGTGAGGCAGCACGGGAGGCACTCACTCATCTCTGCCAAGATATTTGGAAGACATCTATCTGGCTAACTGGTTGGAAGAGATCCATATTTGTACCCATTCCAAAGAGAAGTGACCCAAAAGAATGTGGATATCATCAGACAATCTCTTTGATATCCCATACGAGTAAGGTTTTGCTAAAGGTAATAGAGGATCGGCTACAATCATACATTGACAGAGAACTTCCAGAAGTTCAAGTCAGATTCAGAAGGGGCCGTAGAATGAGGGATATCATTGCTGATGTCCGATGGGTCTTGGCTGAAAACAGAGAATATCAGAAAGATGTTTACCTGTGCTTTATTGACTA